TATTTTAATATATAAATTTTATATAATTATAAAAATATATTTTATAAATTATATTATATATGAATTTATATATGTATAATAAATTCAATATGCTATATTTATATCAATTTATTGTATATAGATGACAAAAAGTAATTAATTTTTTTATTTTTTTGTATTTTAAAAATTAAATCACAATTGGATTAAATCCAAAGAAAATTAGAGCCCATTAGGATTCAAATCCAATTCGATTATAAACCTACTTAAGATTTATTTTTTGATCATAAATGTATAAAGGCATCGGTGTTGCTTCTTTCACAACAACAAGCTAGGATTAGTATCCATGAGTATATGATTGTACATATAGTGATGGATAATGATATCCGTCAGTATTGTTCAAGATATTATAGTGACAAAGAGCAATATTCGTTGGTAATTTATATGACATATAGTAACGGATATAATATATGTGAGTATATGGTAGTACATATAGTGATGGATATAATATCTTTCGGTATATGTTAGTACATACGGTGACGGATTTAATATTGTCGGTAAAACATACTTATACCAATAGGTTTTAACTATTGGTAAATATCATTGTCGGTATAAATGAGGTTTTAGTGATGAATAAGTATTTCATTGGTATTTGTCAAGATATATAGTGACGGATGCCAATTTATGTAAGTAAAACGATAACTATACCGATGGATTGATGACCGTCAGTAAAAGCGTTCGTTGGTATATGTACATTTTTTTTGTAGTATTGAGCGGAAACTTGGGTTGGGTTAGCTCAAACCCCACCCTCCCAACCTGAAAAGGTCGGGTTGGGTTAGGGTTGAGTCCTACTTGTGGTGAATGCCATCAGTTCTGTACAACAATTAACAATTGGTCACTTGGTTTGTCTTGTAAAATCTTTTTAGAAAACCGAATTGAACCCTTCAAACCATCAATGTGTATATATGTCTTTTATATACAATACTTGATCTTCCTTGCAGTTGGACTCATTATGCTAATATCATAACTGAATCAAATAGTGATCTTTTGCAGAAACATGCCTCGGCCACCACTAGCTATGGATAGGAAGAAAAAATTGGTTGCAACTTTGCTTTGTTCTTACTATGCAATGTCGCTGCAATATACTTTTCTGGTTGTATTGGTTACTAATACCATTCAAAATAGGAAGAGAATGTTGAGGGTCTCTAGGAGATTAAATAGTGATGGTGAAGATGACATCAATATGGAGGCAACTGAGCAAAGGATTATAAGTAGGCTTTCAAACATCAAAACTATGGTCATGGTTTCTGATGTGGCGTGTATATACCATACACGAATGGATAGGAGTAGTTATCTTAGACTATGTGACATGCTTAAAAGGGTAGGAAAGTTAAGGGATAGTAGACAAATGGGAGTGGATGAGATGGTTACATGCTTCCTAAACATTTTGGCACATGAAGTCAAGAATACAATGGCATTTTAGGAGGTCTGGGTTTATGGAAGTGGTTCAAGGTTTGTATACTTTTTTGTATATTTGTTTTTCCATTACAACATATATTTAGTATTATTATCCTTAAATTCATCTTTTTTTGGTCTATGTGTGTAGAATTGCCTAGGGGCTCTAGATGGAACCTATATTAATGTTCGAGTGCATGAAAAGGATAAGCTTAAGTATCGAACGAGGGAGAATGAAATTGTAACAAATGTCTTGGGTGTTTTTTCCCCAGACATACAATTCATTTATGTTTTACCTAGTTGGGAGGGATTTGCCCATGACACCAGAGTCCTGCATGATGCCATCTCAAGGAGAAATAGTTTAAAAGTACCACAAGGTATATAATAAAACCCTAACCACTAAGGAAATAGTTTAGAGAGAGCCAATGCGACTATTTACTAATTTAATATATGTTTTGTTACTTGTCTAGGTTGCTATTATTTGTCTGATGTCGGGTACCCTAATAGTGATGGATCCTTAACACCTTAGAGGACAAAGATGTCATCTAAATGAGTGGATGCAAGGGCACCAACCCAACACCCCAGTTGAGATTTTCAACATGAGACATTCTGCAGTTAGGAATGTAATTGAGAGGACATTTGGCCTCCTTAAAATAAGATGGGCAATACTTAGGACCTCAACTTGGTATCCAATAAAAACCCAAGTTAGGATCATTATTGCATGTTGTCTCCTACACAACTACATGCGGAGAAGCATGCCAAATGACCCCATGGAAGCAGGACTTGAAGAATTTTTTGTTGGTGAACAAGGTCAAAGTGCAATTGAGGTAGATGATGAATGAATAACAAGCCTAGATGGTAGTAGGGAGTGGAATGCATTTAGAGACAACTTGGCAAATCAAATGTGACAGCACTTTAGACACTAATAGAAATTTCTATTTGTTACTTTTGTGTTGTAATAAAGTACTACTTGTTCATTATGTTTACTATGAGACTATTGTGTATTACTCTTGTGATGTTTAGTAAATAGTGGTTTGTTCCAGTAGCATTTGTTGATTTATTTGCTTGTATTTGCCTTATGTTTATATATTACTTGTTTTTTAGACATGGCTAGCAAAGACAAAGAAAAAAGGCAACCAACTAGACAAAATAGAATTTGGTCAAAAGAAGAAGGCAAGTTAATTGAAGGATTAATGATGCTAGTTCATATTGGGATGTGGAGATCAGACAATGGGACCTTCAAGTCAAGGTACTTGAATCAGTTAGAGAGGTTCATGGAAACAAACCTCCCTGGATGTGGATTGAAAGCAAACCCACACATTGAGTCTAGAGTGAAACATATGAAGAGATAGTATGCAACCATTTGTGAGATGCTCGGCCCTAGTTGCTCAGGGTTTGGATGGGATGATATAAAAAAGTGTATCACTTGTGAAGACGAGGTCTTCAATGGTAGGGTTAAGGTAATTGTTATCAATTATAATTTATAATGAAGCAAATGTTTATATTTATTTCACATAACTTCTAATTTGTTAATGTACTTTTGTTTTAATAAATGCAGAGCCATCCACATGCTAAGGGGTTAAGAAACAAGGCTTTCCCATTTTTTGATGACCTTTCCATTATATTTGGGAGAGATAGAGCAACTGGGGAGAGTGCTCTCCTGCTAATGCTGCAGAAGATGTGGAAAGGGAGGATATAACAACCCACCTATAGTGGGTGAATCGGTCAATGGTGAAGAAACCCAATATAATGGAATAGATTTCAGTCAGGGTTATGGGATAGCTTCTCATTCTACCACGCAATCCCCTAATCATCGACCTCAATTAGGTGCTTCATCAGCCCCTCGCCCTCATAGAGCAAGTAAGAGATCAAGAAACATCACAGATGATGATCCCATAGCTAGGGCTCTTATAGATGAGTTGTTTGGGGTGGGGCAATACTTTCCCGTGGTAGGGGAAAGAATATCTCAAGTAGCAGATGCTCTTATTGACAAAGAGGGTAGGGAGACGAGGATGAGGGTGTTTGACGAGTTAATGAAGGTCACTAGTTTAAGATGACTAGTGACATGAGTGAGGTAGAGTATTTTTTCAGCTTGCCACTGGATTTCAGACATGCATACATCCTATCCCAACTCCTTCAAGACCAATGAACAACTTATGTTGTGTTGAATGAAGATTGAAGAATAAAGAGCGTATGGAATTGAATAAAAAGGCAACTACCCATTGTTGGTCTCAGCTTATGGAATTGAATATTGTTCATGTTTCATTGATAAAAGTACTGTTCATATTTCATAATATTTCTATAGGAATTTGGTGTAATGTGAGGCAAGGAAATACTACTATCAGTATGGTTTAGAAACCTAACTCGTTTCTTTTCACATATAATTCATGCAAAATTTAGGTAGTCAAGTAGGAATGCTTTTCTTCTCACTTCCAAATTCATGTACTGTGAGCTCATTTGACATACTGCATCCCTCAAAGTCTAAAAAATTGTGTATTACTAACAAATCATTTAAATAGACAAAACCATTTGCTGTAAATCAACCTAGAACTCTAAAATTCAGAGCAGAGGTAGCTTACCAAGAAAAATCTGAGAGAGGATGTAGCTCTGGTGTAGGCAACTGCAATCAGGTAAAATCATTTAAGAATTCCATTTTGTTTTTCCTTCTATCATGCTTTAAGAAATACAGAGTTCTAACTCTGTATCCATTCTTCTTACAATAATTATTTGAAGCGATTGCAGTAGGTGTGATCTATGGCGGCACCAATCAAACATAAGATGGTGTTTGAGACAAGAAGATCTTGAAGGGTTTGGTGAAGATTTGTACTTGGTAATTTGACTAGCTCTTATGAATAACATTCACTATATGGTCAGATCTGTACGCAGGTTTGTATTTTTTCAGCTTGAACAGTCTTTTCTTTTCAGTGATGAGTGGAGGGGGAAGAAAGCAAGGACCCTCATAATAATCCTTTTTTCACATAAAGAAGGTGGCATAAAGGAACAGGGTGACCTTTATTGTTAAATGTGCTCTATCACACTGGTTCTGACAATTCAGTGTATACTGATTCAGGTACCACAATGTGAATATCAATGTTCCTGTGCAGACGGATAATGGATTGTTTGTCCCTGTTATCAAGGTGGGTCATGGCTTCATCTCAATGTTATTTGAAGGACTATTACTCTCCCGTTCCTAACGAGCTATTCTTTTTTTGAGGTGGTCCTTTAGTTTCACGTGTTTAATAATTAATTAAAAGTGTGTGGTTGCAGGTTCTGGGGTGAGGCTTTCTTTCATTGGTTTGTAGGTTGTTGTGGACAAGCACTAATTCAGAAATTCTTACATGTAGGGAGGCTAGCTATCTTGGTGGGTACAAACCTCTGATTCATAAATCTTCAAAGGGTCTATTTATGCCTTATTTAATTGCATTGAATTTAATTAATATTGCATGCAATCCTGTTATAATATTCCAGTTTCTTTGTTGTATTGACAGTGTGATCTAATTAACTCGTCTTTTTTAATTAATTTTGTTGTTTGAACTGGTGTGTGCTCTCAGCTCTCCACCTTAGTGCTGCCAAGCTATATTCCTTCATAGATTTTCTTATATGTGTGTTCCTCATGCCACATCTCCATAGGATTACAAATTCAAAAGTTWACTCTTATCAACTTCATGCTAGTGCCCAAGTTGTTAGTCTCCTGAATAAACTAAACATGAAGATAAATTTACAGTTGTTTGTGGCTGAAATTAAATGGTGTTGCTGATTTTATTGGCTCTGTATGTGGTATGACCGTATAACGTAGTCTACTCTGTACTCAAATGCTCTATGGATAAACAGTGGATTTATTGTCTTTTCTAAAGACTTGAATGGTGGTGTGTTTCTTTGCAAGAGCCTTTTCATCTGGAACTGTTACAGTCAAGTCCATTCAAAATTTTCAAACGCATGAATGGTTAGATGCCAAACCAACAGTTTATTTTCATTGTCAAGGGGAGAACAAGACATCTTTACCAGATGTGAAGGAAGCGCACCACATATATACCTTCAAGGGAGAAGAATCCTGGCAGGTTYGTACCAGGTTTCTAGTACAATTTGAAACCCTGTGATTAGACCAAATGTTATTTGACTTGCAAAAATCTCTTGAAAACTGTGCTGCATAACATAAGTTCAGCTTTTACGAATGGATGTTGTGGATATCTGCCACGATTGAATTCTGGTGGTTCTCCAATCCCTTGTATGGTTAAGTGGACTGCTTGAAAAATACCCTAGGTCTAGATGCTATTCCTTTGATAGTTTCACATGACAAAGCTACTAGTTTAAATATAATCAGATTTAYGCAGAATCAACTTTCTAAGGCCAACACTTTGGGAAAAGATCATGTGTCTTCACAGGGCATTCCATTCTTATCTCATTTTATCATGTCAAGTTTATTCATGTCCATCTGTAGTATCTGTAGCAAGAAAAGTAGGGATCTGAAACAAGGCAGCCTTTGCTGGGTAGTCTTATCCCTAGGTGAATTGGTAGGTTGCTGTTAGCCTTCTATTAGTTTTGTTGTCGTCATTTGAAGCTGTATTTTATGAAATATAAACTTGTATGAAGCTCCCACATCCGAGATCAATGCACTGCAAATTGATTGGTTTTTGCAAAACCAGTGAGGCAAGAATATCAACCTTTAATTAAAAAGATTTTCCTAGTATAGTTACAGAAAGTATTCTTCCCATAATCCAAATAGCTTGTAAAAGATAAATGTTTCCCAGTCAATTACAATTCCATATTTTGGAGATTCTTGTTATGTGTCTATGTAAGAAATGGGAATCTAGTTTAAACTTTAGGAGAGTCATTACCACCTGCAAAGAGGATCTATGTCTGCCCAAGGAAGCTTTCTTTCTTTTTGCAAATAATGGTGTTTTGGAAGGTTTCAACTCATTAAAAGCAATTAACTCATTGCCAATGGTCATCCTCCACTTTAGTCCATCAACAGGTTCTGGTGCAGGAGCAAACACTTCATTTGTCAGGGAAATCATTCATGATTTTGAGGGTTGCTTGATTGAGGAATCCAGGTCTCTCCACTGTCTGAGGTACTTTCACATGTAGGAAGTAGAGATCATCCTTGTGCCTTCCACCTTGATTGGAGATGGTAGTTCCAATGGAGTTCAGATGCCTCTTCTTCTCTGGGGTCTTAGGTTGAATTGCTTATTGGTGCTTGTCTGGAGAAGTAGTTGAGTTACTCTTTAATTTTAACTGTATGGTAGAAGGAAACTGTCAAATGATAATTATCTAGATGAAAAATGGTTATTTATCCTTTGGGGCACTATATTAAGGGATGAGGTGGGAACATCCCACATTCAGATTGGAATGGGATGCTTTGATACAGTTCGTGGTTCGTGGGGATTCTTTGATACAGTTCAAATGCAGCGAATGGGTGTGAGTGTGTCTTAGTTAAAATGTCTTTTAACACTAGGATAGACCATGGGTTGGAAAATGAAGCAAGTGGGTGTGGGTGTGTCTTAGTTAAAATGTCTTTAAATACTAGGATAGACCATGGGTTGGACCGGTTTCAACCAGGTTTTTGTTGAATGTTTGATGGGTCCATTCTAAACCATTACTTTTAAAAGAATTGTAACTTTTGATAGGACATGAACCAACCATCCTATTAATTAAATTCTTAGCATGGAAATTTTATAGTAAAAATAGAGGGCGTGAAAATCAAACCCAAGTACACCAAACTGAGCTTGATCTGCAATAAACAGAGAATTAATTTCCACAACTAACCATAATATTTAACCATATAATTGTTCCTTTTGATGAGTGCACACTGCACAGTAGGAGTTTCTAACCAATATATATAGAATTGACAATGAACCCAAATGATTCTTATAATTAGTATTAATTCCTATTTTTCCTTCTAGTTCATTGCTGCATTTTTTTTCTTTATATTGTCATATTTTACAAACTTTTAATTGCAACCATATTACAATTGTAATGCAAATATGTTTGACCAATCCAATCTTGGCCTCACCATGTGAGCTTGGTTGCATCTATCCAGTTTCTAAAACACTGCTCAAGCATGTGAACAAGAGAAGAGAACCCTTAATTAAAAATCACATATTTCCATTGCCTTTAATTTTCCCTCTTCCTTCCTCTTGTACTGGCTTTTGGTTGATCAATTAGGTTTTAGTGCTTGGTTTTTCCTTAAAATGAGCCCCATTTAAGTGAAGAAAAATGACATCCTTTTTATAGTTTTAAATTGTTGTTCTACACCATTTGCTTCTTGTCTGGTTCATGGGGATGCTGAATTAGCAGAAACTGTATCAAAGCATATCATCGACAAGGCCGGTTGTCTGAGCGATGGAGAGTACATGATACTGTCTAACATGTTTGCATTGCATGGTAGATGGAAAGAAGCAGATAACTGGAGAAGAATGATGAAAGAAGCAGGGATTAGTAAAGTTGCTGGTTGTAGTACTATAGAGATCAATGGTAGAATGTACAGATTTCTGGCCGGAGACAGAGAAGGTGGTTAAGCCTAGCTTGACGACATCAGGACCTCAAGAATACTTGATTAGAAAAGCTGGGTTGTATGAGTTCACTTGATAGTTGACGACCAGCAAGCAAATCTCAGTAATCAAGAATGTCAACCTGAGATAATAAATACATTGTAAGAGAGTAAGAAAACAAGGCTGTGTAGCATCTCAAGCAAAGTTTATCTGTATTTGCAAGACTTAAGATGTGGACTGATGGACGATAATATGTGTTAGATTTGTAAAAATTGACATCCAAAGCTGTCTGTGATCATGGACAAGGTCAAGGACACACCAGCAGGTAATGAAACCACAGATATGGCGTTTATTGGTAGATATTCTGATTGTCCAAGTGCAGAACAGGGACTAATTGCTTCACATACAAAACTGAAGCAGGGTAACCAAGAAAGGACTATCAATGTGTCAAAACCTCAAAAAGAAGCACTCTTGTTATCATCATCTTCAGTGTCGAAGTCTGCAGCATTAATTGAGGGCTCTAGTTTGGTGGAATCACCGCAAACTGGTAATCTCACAGTTAGGATTGAGAAAGAGAAGGGAAGACGACGAAGGAAGAAAAAGCCAGCTGGTGTAGGTGCAGGATTAACGGGAGCTCTTGAGGTTTCAAGCAATCAGAGTGGGAATTCTATTTGTCATTTGTGAAAATTCAGTGGTTCATTAAATAACCAGAACTAGTTTGATTTTCATAAAGAAAACCAGAAATTATGAGAAGTCTTAAATGCCCAAAATAATGGCAGATGGTGTTTTCTTCCAGAGGAAAAACTTGAATTAGGCTCAAATTGGGTTTAAAAGAAGAGGCAGCATGGTTTATTTCCAAAAATTTTAGGGGCATTTAAGACTTTGTGACATGGTTTTCAAATCCATATCCAAAGGGTAAAATTGGAAAGAGATGAAAAAAATGGCAAGTTACCCAGGAAAGTGGGTGTTGAAAAAGAGCATGGGAAAATAAGAAATTTCATTTACCTAATAAATTAAACAAAAAAGAACATGAATAAATGCACTTATCTAGGTGCGTCTTTCCTAAAAAGCATTTGCCTGAATAAGTGTATTTACCCAAGTAAATGTGTTTCCGAAAAAAGAACATGGCCTTAAGCTTTGCTACCCTAAGACTTCCCCATTCCCTTGTTCCCTCATTCTCAGCCTCACAAATTAAGAACATTATCTCAACCATCTACCATCTTTCAGGTAGATAGAAACAACCCCTAGCTCTTTAATATGAAGTTTAGTTTGAGAAAGGAGAAGACACTACCATCATAGAGAGGAGGACTACAAACTTTGTAACATCTCCAAAGAGTGATAACAAATCAAAATATGTTGTCAATTCTTCTCTATAACTTCCAAGAGACCTTCATAAATTGCTTTCAACTTCGCTTCCTTAGGTGAACCTTGAGATTGAAATTTCCTATCAGCTGCCGAAATAAATGATAGGTCAGACTCAAATCAAATATACACATAAGAACCTTCAGAGTGATTAATTGCTCCACCATCGGTAAACAAAATTTGAGTAATTTGAGTAGAAATCTGAATAGCTACTTGGTGTTGACAGTATAGGCGGGCCTAGGAGAATACTAAGATGTCTGTATAAATAGAATTAAGGTAAACAGACTTAAACCCCCCTTAATTTATGTGAGAAATACTAAGACCTCTCCCCTATATTTTTAAAATGGACTAGTGTATCAGTTGTTATATCTAACGGATGAGGGAAAAAGACAATACTATCCTATCAGACTAAATGTTGATTTGTTGGGTTTCTAATCAAATTATAAAGAAAAAAATCCTCAACGTTAGAAACACATTAACTTCCATCCACTGCGGAACTAATTTGACTGATGGAGCTTGAATCATCTTTTCTATGGAACACTAATATCAAATTTCCAGCAATTACCTCTAAGCCATTAAAAGAAAACAAAGAAAAAAAAATAAAATACTAGGTTTAATTTATATTTGATTTCTTCCCTTTATTTAGGTTTAATTTATATTTGATTTCTTCCCTTTTTTTAATATTTTCTTGGGTTCCAAAAAAAATCTATTGTTAGAACTTTGAAGAAGATGGAAAGATCAAAGAGACCGATCAAAGCTTTTTGCAAATGGATTCCAAATTGAAAAACCCATGATATATGGTTGTGAAGAGCTTCATGTCGCCAAAGATTTCTACGAAGAACTTCATTTGATAACCAACTTAAGACTCAGAAGCTTAAGATACAAGTGGAAACGAAGGTCCGGTGATTGCCTCTAGGTAGATCTGCAAGTATATATTTGTCGATGTTAGTGAAGCGGAGAAGAAAGAAAGAAAAGTTCTAAAGAAGTCCCTGGCCACTGATGATGCCACCCTTTTCTGCTAATGCTTGATCTGCCATCACACACTAGTGCTGCCATTTTATTTGTTATAAATGATTCATGGCATATATTCTCTGCAGCAGAGGATGCATTGGGGATAAAATTTCAATGGGGATCCAAGGTTTGTTTGATTATTTCTATTTGGATGGAAACCCAAGAATTGGTTTTGGGTTGGTAGTGAAATTAACATGGTGTTTGGAAGCGTGGGCATTTTTTGGGACCAATTTTCAAGAAAAAATGTCCATGTTTTCAAGACCCGCTTTTCACAAAAAAACACTTCTGCCACGTAGGCAGTAAACAATACTATGCTGTTTGTTAAGGTGATTTTCATCACTGTTTTTCATGTATGTGCTGACAGGTAAGCACTACATAGGATACACATCAATCAACCGTTGGGGTAAATGGTTCACCGATGCATGAAACGCCAAATTTGGTGTTTCATGCATCGATGAGGTCACATTTTTCGAGGCATGCCCAATATTTTAATAATCGGCTGAACCAAACAATGAGATACATGGGCGTTTGTTGAAACGCCTATGTGGATCCAACATGGCACTATTTTTTTGAAAAACAACCATGGTTCCAAACATCCCCTAAGACATCAAGGATGTTTAGGGGGTAGCTGTTTGGGTTGTGCCTTGGCTGGTCGAAGTTGCCACATGGACACCACCATGGCTTGACGATTTCAGTCCATGTCAGCAGATAAGTACACCACCTACCAAGAAGTACGAACATGAAAAATCTCGGAGGCAGTACAATTCTTCATGGATAAGGATAAGTGTCATCTCTTACTGATAGACAGCCCCATTGGGGAAGGCAAATTCTTTTGAAGACCTCGTTGGGTGGCCTTTTCCCTAAAACCCCGTAGGTAGGGCTGTTAACAAACAATGTCAAACCAACCAAATCAGCCCGACCCAACCTGATTTGGTTGGTTTATCATCATCACTAGTCGGTTTTGGGTTGTGAAAAGGAATAACCGAACCGAACTGAACCGAGTTAGTTAGCTTCTGATTTCCTAGTCTTTCCCTAACTAGGTAATCCCTATCCTGTAGTTGAATTATTCAGCCCATCACAAGCCCATTGGTCTATTGAGTATCTATGAATGGCAAATGGCAAATGCAGCCTTAATCATGGTGTGTAATGGGCCAAAAATCAAACTTGAACTAAAACTTTTAGTTTTGGAACGCATTGGACCAAGTTGCATTGAATCCAATGATAAACTGGCCGGTTAAACCGATAAACTGACCCTTCATGTTTGGATCGGTTTTGCTTAATGGCAGGTCAGTTCCAATTTGCTCTTTAAGTAACCAAACTAGGTTGGGTCGATTGAAAAAAATCTATTAAACCAACCCAACCCGACCCATGAACAGCCCTACTCGTAGGGAGCATGTTTGAGTGAACAATGACATTTGGCTATTTAAAGGCATCTCCACTCAAAGGTTAGACACCTTTTAGCTCTCCTTAGGGGTGTTCACGGGTCGGGTTGGGTTGGTTTATTGGGATTTTCCCAACCGACCCGACTTGGTCGGGTTACCTAAGGTGGGAACCGAAACCGACCCACTGATAGGCCAAACCGACCTGGTCGGTTTGAGTCGGGTTGGGTCGGTTTGGGTCGGTTTCGGTTTTGCTTCTGTACAAAGCCGAATAAAATCTAAATTAGTTGATAATTTGATATTCAAGAGTCCAAGATAAATCTAAATTTAATTCAGGTAAAGAATACAAGTATCATCACTGAAAACTAAAGTTTTTATT